GCCCGTAATCTGTCATGGGCCCCTGTTGTCGCTTGTTGGCATATTCCGCTCGTTCAGATGCTCCTTCTCCTGCTACTCCTCTTCACGGATTCCGTCAGCAGTCTTTCTTGGAATCCGTTTCCAAGAGACAACAGTTTGCGAGCACGCACCAGACGGTGCAGAAGCTGAACGTCCTCCTGTCCAAGTTGCTGCTGCCAGGCTCGTAATCTGTCATGCGCCCCTGTAACCGCCTCCTCATGCTGCTGCCAGGTCCAGAGTGTGTCATGGGCCCCCGTACCGACTCCTCATGCTGCTGCCAGGCCCGTAATCTGTCATGGCCCCCTGTACCGCCTCCCCATGCTGCTGCCAGGTCCAGAGTGTGTCATGGGTCCCTGTACGGCCTCCCATTGCTGCTGCCAGGCCCGTAATCTGCCATGGGCCCCCGTACCGACTCCTCATGCTGCTGCCAGGCCCGTAATCTGCCATGGGCCCCTGTACCACCTCCTCATGCTGCTGCCAGGTCCAGAGTGTGTCATGGGTCCCTGTACGGCCTCCCATTGCTGCTGTCTCCATCGCCACACTCTGCCATGTGCCACTTTCAGGTCTCCTCACACTGCTGGTGGTTTTCCATTTTTGTCATAGGGTGCTGTATGGCCTCCCATTGCTGCTGCCTCCACCGCCACACTGTGGCTCCACACTCTGGTTTTGGCCCCGTGACTGCCCAAATGAGTGAAGTGTGCGGTGATTCTAAGATCGACGGCACTCATCTGCATGTCATACTGCCTGACAGTATTATTTCTCTTCCCCAGCAGACTCCAAGGGCATTTAAATTAAAGGTACAGTGTTCAGCACTAATATTAAGTCTCTCTGAAGCCTAAAACACCCTTTTTTAAGTTAAATTCACAGCGAATATATTCGACTCGAATCGAAATTTTTCCACGAATTCGCCGAATCAGTCGAATCGAATTTTTGAATACTTCGCTCATCTCTAACAAAGACAACTGAGACTGTCCAGAAAGTCTTACCATCAGCCATGACACCTTCTCCTTAGAAACTTCTTTAACCCTAGGTTCACACATAAGTATTTTTAAGCGTTTTTTCCATTTAACATGATTTCCTATGGGACACGTTCAAATCTCTGCATTTTCACACAGTGAGTTTTTTGGAAAAGGTCAGGGCCTTTTTTCAACGCAAAAAGTTTTTGGTTCTATAGACCTCAATGAAAATGCTGCAGAAAAGCATGCAGTGCATTTTTGCTGGGTTTTTTTATGCATTTTTGACACATTTTTTGATGTGGTTTGCATTTTAAATCTGCCTAGCAACAAGAAAAAAAAGTAAAATGCATCAAAAACGCATCAAAAAATGCATCTTCAATACAGGTGCAAAAACGGAAAAAAGCAATGCATAAACAGCCTTAACCTCTTGCCGTCCGCCTGCTGTTTATAAACGGCAGGGCGGTGGCAGTCCAGGGGCGGATTGCCGAACCTAAACGGCACCCACCTTTTCTAGCTGTGCGCGCTCCCTGGGAGCGCGCACCACCACGATCCAGTGCCTGCTGTGTCCTCCGGACACAGTGAAACACCGATCGTCGGTCGGGACCTCTGTACGAGGTCCCGATCATGTGATCACTGATTGGCAAATCAGTGATCACATGCAAAGTAGTAAGCAAGATGTCACTTGTGACATCATTGCTTACTATGTGTGAAATCTGTGAATGATCACAGAGGTCACATGGTACAAGGCTATTCACAACAGCCTTGTACCATGTGACAAGCTGTGACCAATCACAGCTCACTCAGTACTTCTCAATGACTGCAAGAATGCAGACAGAGAGAAAGAGAAATGATTGCTTTTACATCCTATATGGGTGTAAAAGCAATCAGTGTAAAAAAAAAAAAAAAAAATCTTCATCACCCCCCACAAGTAGTACTGCTAGGGTGACAGTATTTAAAAAAAAATAAAAAATAATAATATAAAAAAATAAAATAAAAATGTAAAAAAAAATGTTTAAAAATTATAATTTTTGGTTATAAACTAATTTGTATTTTTTTTTTTTACTAAAAAAATAATGGAATAAATTTTGGCCAAGATTTATGATGAAATATTATTTATTTGCAAAATTTTATTAAAAAAAAACACTTTTTTTCAAAATTTTTGGACTTTTTCATTTACATAGTAAAAAAAAATAAAAATCCCAGCGGTGAATAAATACCACCAAAATAAAGCTTTATCTGTCTCAAAAAAATGGTAAAAAATTCATATGGGTACAGTATTGCATGACCGCGCAATTGTTATTGAAAGTGTGATAGCGCTGAAAGCTGAAAATTGCCCTGGACAGGAAGGGGGTAAAAGTGTCCGGACAGGAAGTGGTTAACACAAGGGGGGGAACCTAGCATTAGGTAAGAAATATTAAAAAAAGGTATGATGCGTGAATGAGAACACATAACAAACACACAGGGATTCATTTACTAAAACTGGAGAGTGCAATTCAGTGCAACTCTGCATGGTAGCCAATCATCTTCTAACTACAGCTTGTTCAATTAAGCTTTGTTAATAAAAGCTCAGAGCTGATTGGTTTCTATGCTTGTTTTGCCAGATTTTGCACTGTCCAGTTTTAGTAAATCAACACCATAATTGGGTTTTCTTAAATTTGACTGCAAGCGTAGAAACATGATTTAAAGCCCAACTCCAGGAATAAGAAAAAATCAACCTACATGGCAAGGCTTAAATGCTTATTGTGTCCAGCAGTGTCCTCCAGCAGTTAGTCTGGTCCCCTTGCAGGCTCCTGTCCCATCTGCACCAGGCTGTGGTTGCATGTTTGCTCCCACCATGGACATGTAACACTACTCCCTTTGGTCCCCCTATAGTCCTTCACAGCCAGGGAATCTGCATTCTCTGCACAAGCTTGCATTCAAAGTCAGAAGTCAATCCTTGAGCTTTTGTTTTGCTGTTTATTGAGGGGATTTAGAACAAGTATATGGTAAGGGAACTGACAAACTTCCTAGAACTGTTCACAAGCTTCTCTTCTGCAACATTCTCTGTTGGAGAGCTAGCCAACATTTTCTTGATATACCACCCCATACCCTAGATTAAATTCTCCTCTTCACCCAACAATCTGGAGGTTTTCCTGAGCAGAGGATCTGGTTCCTGTCCCTTTAAATTGGGGAACAGTCACTAATAGAGGGCTAATCTGGTTTCTCACCAGAGTGCTCCTTCCCCTATCCACCCAGAGGGTGCAGGTGAACTCACTCAGATCCTCTCCTGTACCACTTGTGGATTTGCTGTTGCTACCAGGCCTATCAGCTGGGCTGCTCTTTCCCTGCCATACAGGTGGTCTTCGCTCAGGGGGCCAGTGAGTTCCAAGATTTCCTCCTTTCTAGCTCCAGGCTCGCATAGCAGGCCCCATCCTACTAGGCCTCCTGGAAGCCTCATTTCTCACAACCTCACATCTTCCTCTCAACTCTCCACACTCCCCACTCCACACTCCTGCTACTGAGCAGGCTCTAACACTTTTAAGAAAGTCCCAACCCTTGCCAAGTCTTCTGTTGGGGATTGCCTGAGGTCCCTCAAGAGTGCAGCTAGACACTCCTCAGCTCCACCCACTGCCTCCAAGGTCTTCCTCAAAAAGCCTCAGAGCAGGGGGAAATTCCAGAGAGGCTGACCTACAGAGCTTCTCAGCTCTGACCACAATTTGACCCCTCTGGCTATCTCACCTGAGCTGCTACTCAGCTCCTGTCTTGAATTGTAAAAGATGATACAGAAGAATGCCGAGGGACCTCCCAAAGGCCAGAGCTTTGGTGAACCACCTAGAGTGGGGGATATGGCAAATAATCCTGGCTGTTCCTCAAGCCAATAGATAAAACAAACATGTAACCCTTGTGATGTGGAGAGAGGCCTGAAAAGGTATATACAGGGGCGGACTGACCATTTGGAAACTCGGGCACTGCCCAAGGGCCCGGGGTCAGTAGGGGGCCCCATGAGATGCCCCTGGTAACTTTTGCATAGGCTTTTTTGAGTTTGGGCAAGGACACAGGGGCCCCATGATCCCCTATTGCCCGGGGGCCCCATGAGCTGTCAGTCTGCCCCTGGGTATATATTTTACTATTTCCTGGAGTTGGGCTTTAAAGGGAACCTAACATCAAGCACAATTACTGTCTAAGAAGATTTTGATATTGATGGTAGATACCATGCTCTGATTATTCAGCTTCATACTAGTTCTGAAGAAGTTATCTCACTAACAGCAATGTTGTTTGTACTGTCTCTGAGAGAAATGGTATGCCGCCTGAGAATCGCTGTTTATCCTTGTGACAGATTTCATATAAAAATGTAATATTTAAAGACATTAAGGTCTACATTAAAGGATATGTTAATGTTTTGTAAAAAAAAATTAAATAAATGCACATCTTTTTTCAGATAAAAAAAATGGACATGTATTATTTTTGACATTGCAGCCTTTAAAGCATTGCACCCACGATCAGCAGACAGGGGTGCAATGCCAAGATCCTGCAGACTCTCAGTAAGCTGTCTGCCCATACCGCCCATATGGGCAGGCAGTTACTGAATGGCTGGAAAAATAAATTAATTATGAGAGTGCTCACCAGTGCACTCACAGTTCATTGAGAACTACAAGCCATCAGCCACAATGACTGACAGTAGCTGTAGTTGAATTCATTGGCAGGAAACTGTGAATGAATGACGTGGCCGTCTGGGTGGAACCTTGCACAGCCATGTTGTTTTCAAATTGTGACAGCTGGTGCGGGAAGAAGATCCCCTACCTGGAGTCACAAAGCAGATAGCACTGGGGGCGGAAGGTGGCTGCATAGGAGCATGTTACATGGCCCAAATATGGGTGTAACATAACACCTAAAGGTGAATGTAGCCTTTAAACCAAAACCTTTTTTTAAATTTTATTCTTTTCATTTGGGATACAGTGGGGTGGGTTAAGACCCCTACTAGATTTTTTTTTTTGCTATCCGTGTCAGAGAGATCTCCTGTCCGAGGAGACAACAAGAAGTAAGAGGAAATTTCTCCAAAATCAGTTGGAAATTTCTCCAGTTGGAATAGACATCTCCATTTGAAGATTTCCCCTCATCTCATGTTCAACTCCAAACTTTTCCATTTTCTGTTGCTTTCTGTCCTATTCACAATGTTGACCAGGACATGCGGAGAAGTAAAAACCTGACAGGGGATTTAACACTCACTTATCTATACAAATCTAGAAGCAGCATTGGCTTTACATGCACTTTAATTATAACAGAAAACTGTGCTTAGCCCATGGAGTACAAAGCAACAGGATCATTTCAATAAAAGACCCTTCAGCTGCTACTCCATCCAGCCACTGTGAACAAGTTAAAATATCAGGAATTTTTTTTGGGTATGGGAGGAGTATGCCATCCACTTATCCTCCTCCCACCTTGCCTTGATTATTAGCTGTTTAGACACTTAGCACTGTCACCCTAGGTAAGGGAGAGAGTCTCCAGCTCCAGGTCTCGATTTGCTGATGATACTGGGCTTCCTCCTATTGTATTCCTCCATGGCCAAACAGAGGATCAAGGGAAAGGTAAGTATAAGCTGCTGTTGGAGCTGCCACTGAAATGAACCTTTTGCTTTGGTCTGTGAAAATCAGAGGTTCACTTTAAACTAACCTACTAAACTGGTGGTTCTGGGATAAAACTGGTTTAACCCTTTCACCCTTTCTCAATGGTAATTATTATCATCTAAACAAATTCCTGGCTCATATAGCAGTTAGGAGTTTGTTTGCCTTTTAACTCCTTTCTGCTGACTATGTAGCAGAACTGATTTGGGCACCTATGCATGCTGAGGAAAGTTCCCCCTCCAGCAATGTGTCATGGGCTTACCT